CCTTGTTATGAAGTGATTAATGACCTAATTACTTATCATCGGAAACGTCAATGTAATCTAATTGAATAAATGAAGTAATAAAGTGATGCTTACAAGACAAATCAATAAGATAGTTGACTCGTTTTGATATCCTATTGACGTGAAAGATCGCGACCGAGATGATGATACAAAATATGACGTGAAACAGTGACACCAACAATGAAAGACTGAAGAATGAAGAAAATGTAGTTCGCGCTGACCATACAACGTTAAATAATATTTATGGATAGTATTATTTCAACACAAAATACAACTTGGATTACATGAGGAAAGTTACAGATGCAATTCTAAGTCTAGTCTTCCAGGATTCACAAATTCATCGTAACTAACCCCTGGACCCGGGAAAGCTTTAGCAAACTCTAATTTGTCTAAAAGCTCATCAACAAAGAAAGAAGAAATGAAAAGTTTTCTCTCATTCAAAGCCATGAAGTTCTGCCTCACCGCATCGTCTAGAAATTTGATTAGGTTATTGAAATAACCGTCAAGATTCAAGAGACCAATGGGTCTATTGTGTAACCCTTCAGAAGCCCACAAGATCAAAGTGAATAAACCTTCCATAGTGTCAACTCCTCCGGGAAGGACGATGAAAGCTTCCACGGCATGATTCATCTCAAATTATTTGTAATAGTTGCTGGAAATTGTATGCTCTACACCATACGTAGGTCCATAGACACGTCGTATTGCTATGTACCCAGGAATGAAACCTCTAACGAGACCACCATTGGTAAAGACTGTTGAAGCAACAGCTCCTTGAAGGCCAACACTACCTCTTCCATTGGCAAGTTTAATCTTTCGCCTTATCAATTCCCTTCCCAAATCTACCGCAGTAGCCATAAACTTTGGATTTCTACCAAGAGAATGACTACCAAGTAGACCAACGAATCTTATGGTATAAGGAAGTCTTCGAGAAGTTCCTTCCATAATGTGAGAATATGAGATACTCTTTCCATGATCATGATATATATAGCACCTGAAACCGGACCATTGATGGAAAAGTAATTATCACTAGCCAAAATAGGTACAGTAAAATGGATTACCTGCAAACAAGAACGTACTCAGTCTGATGATGACATGATGTATTGAGACTAATGAATAGTTTGATTCGCTGTCCTTAAATACGTTCAACCACAAGACGAAAAGTCAAATGACTATTTCCTAAGGCAACGACCTCTTGAGTAACTTCCAAAGAGTGAAACATTGAAGGAAGAAAACCTACGTTTAGTAACGATAATTCGCAAACGCTACCTTTGTATCTTGTGACTCATATCCTTGAAATACTCAAACTTGTTGTGTTAACTACACCCTTGAAAACATCTCGCTTGATCAATCTTGAAAAGATTGAATTCCATTCTTTATATCAAAATACTAAAACCATGATTCTTAATTGGAACCAAAACAATACTCAGTGATACCATGATATCGATCTTTGGAAACTATACCCTATTGAATAAGTGACTCGATCACAATAGTAAAACTACCCCGACTTGAACATTATGTTGAACCTCTCTATGTGGACCACAATACAATTACGATATCTCTGAAGATTATTATCGATGATCCTATTGACCAAACCAACTCCATTATAACCCTAGCAAGGATATGTGTGTGCAACAACCAAAGAAGAAATGACGTCACGAGAACAAGCTGAATCATTCAAGTGAAAATCTCAAACCTATACGCGATGTTGGTGTTAGAACTTGTAAAGATTCTTCACTCTATTCATGAATTGAATTACTTACTGAAGATCTTCTCTTCTTCAAGATCAGCCATAATGCTACAATCGAACCTGTCGCTATCATATCTAGTTATATTTTCAAATTAATGAGAGAAATTTGAATACGACAAGTCGTACATGAGACGCTACTCGAACTTCATTACCTATGAATACGAAGACTCATTAAACGATAATGGGAGCTACCATGAAGTGAATGAAGAAATGTTTTGATGCAAATCGATGATAACGAGCTATCGTACAACCAATCGACATTACTTCCTCATAAATGATGACAAATTCTATGTTCTAAAAGCCATATGTTGTTACTTACGAGTCATGTGAATGATGTGAAGATGTTTAGATTGACTTGAATGATTACGCTATGATGCATGGATTAAAAATGAAATCCAAAATCTCCCACTACAACTATCGCGAACAGGAAACTGCAAGTGCTACTGAAGGTCTTTCAATCAAAGAAAGAATGTTGTTGACTAATGATGAACAATCGAGACTTGTGAATAAACGAAGTATGTCAAATATGCTCCAAAATACGATGTTATAACCTTCAAAGGAACCTAAAATATGGATGTTGCATTTGAACAGGAACCCGCAAAAGGATTGTTGGATACCTTGCTTAAATTTAAAGATTGTTAAACCCTTGAAAAAAAAGAACGAGTTTGATAACATCGACAATTTGAGGATACGTATCCGTATGGATAATGACGTAATTATACCTTTGAGCATGACACGGTCATGATTAAGTGAGATCACTATGAAATGTTGAACGTTTGGGCTTAGAAGAATTTCAGGGACGAAATTCCTTTTAAGGGGGGAGAAATGTAACGCTCCAAAATATACCCTAGAATTATTAATAAATAAATAATCAATTAATCAAAATTTTTTATAAATGTTTGTTGGGCTTTGAGCCAAAATGAAATATGTTTAAATATTCAATATCACAATCTGGATAAATCTTATAGAGATAAATCCAATAAGTTGACTTATTGTATAATCTTGATTGGGAACCTGAGTACAGACCCAAATTAAGAATAAATGAAGAAATTGTGAACTTTGAAATGATTTATTGAAATAAATCATGGAAATAGATAATATGAATTAAATGTGAGACCTTTTTTGAATAAAATTCAATTAAACCATATTTTGACTCAACAAAGCATTATTTATATGTTTGACCAAAAATGAAGGAATTTTTAGAGTCAATGATTTTTGTTAAGATTGACTTTTATAGATAGGTCTCAAAGATACAAATCCAACGGTAGATTTTATGAATAAATCTGATGTACAGATTTTCAATTATGACATTTTAAATATGTAATTTGTATAAAAATAAGAAAAAGTCAAAGATGTGAACTTTTTGTAAAATGATTTATTGANATAGTTTAAGGATACTGTTGAATGACAAATGATGAATATACATGTTGGATGATTGAATAATGAATGTTAAAAATTGAATATTGATTATTGAATATCTGAACTGAACATTATGTGCATGATATCAAATGGTTGATTATGAATTGAGATTCAATTTATGTGGATGTTCGACGCATTAGATATGCTTACTCAGCTTTACCGTTGAGCGTGTAGTGTGTTTTATTTGCTACACGCAGGTCAATAGATTGATGTGACGTGATCCTGGAGGCAGACGGAGGCGAGATAGTCGGAATGGATGTGATGGTTTTGAACGAAAGAATATAAATAAATTATGTTTGTGATTATGATTTGTTAAGCTTCCGCAATATTGAAAACTCTGTACTGTTTATGATATGAAAAATATTATTATGATAAATAAAAGTGTTTGAAAAGTTTTAAATTTTACGATTACCAAGTTAATACTTTAGTCCGAAAGGGGCTGCAGACCTGGACGGATTAGGGTGTTACAGGACCTGTCATATAATGGGATATATGGTGGCTCAAAAGGGGGGATATGACAAGGTTGGTTTTACGAAAATAGATTTATATAATTATCTCGATAGACAGAAACATGTTAAGATTGAAGATGGAGATGCGCGAGCTACACTAAGTTACCTTCAAGGTAAAGCTGACAATGACCCCATGTTATTTTGTAAGTATAACGTTGGAGCAGATGGTAAGTTAAAACATTTATTTTGGGCAGATGGCGCAAGCATAGTAGACTTTCAATGTTTTGGTGATGTTCTTGCATTTGACACTACTTATAAGAAGAACAAATATAATTGTCCATTGATTATTTTTTGGGATGTAATCACCATTCACAGACAGTTATATTCCGTTGTGCTTTAGTGTCTAATGAAATTATTGAGACTTACCAATGAGTTTTAAAGGCTTTTTTGGAAGCGATGTACAACAAACATCTAATTTCAGTTGTTACAGATGGTGATATGTCTATGAGAGATGTTGTTAAAGACATTTTTCCAAAATCTACTCATCGGCTGTGTGCATGGCATTTACACCAAAATGCACTAGAGAATGTCAAGAATCCATCATTTGTCGAGGACTTTCAAAAAGCATATGCTAATTATACACCCGAGGAATTCGAAGAAGTTTGGAAGAACGTGAACATGATGTTGGTTCTAATTCGTGGGTACTGAAAACCTATGAGAACAAAAAGTTATGGGCTACTGCATATTTGTGTGACACATTCTTTGGTCATATTCGGACCACATCACAGTGTGAAGCAATTAATTCTCTAATAAAGTCTTATGTGATGAATAAAACTACCCTTCTTGAATTTGCTCATAATTTCGAGCAACTACTGAGAGAGTACATGAATAATGAGGTGATTGCTAATTTCAAGTCATATTTCTCTGAACTTGTGTTGACAACTTCTTTAAAGGATATTGAGCGGGAGGCTGCCCAAATTTATACACTTGAAATATTCAAAGAAGTGAAGAAAGAGATTGAAATTAGTTGTGCGTTTAATGTTGTTGGTCGAAAAGAAATTGGAGACAATTTGATGTTTGAGTTTAGCCACTATTGTGATGCATATACTTTGGTCGAGGTAGAGTTTGATAGATTACGTTCTGCGTTCTCATGTGCTTGTCGTCTTTTTGAATCTCGCGGCATCCCTTGTCGTCATATTATATGTGTTATGAAGACAAAGCATATTCATAATTTTCCCTAGAGGCCAGAGCTTAATATACGAAAGGTGGACTAAGAGGAGTGTGAAACGGCAGAATGGCAGCAACAATTCGGAAGAAAAATATATTCTGTGTTCTATGTTTGATATTACAAAGGTCTCCCCTTAATATAGGGGAGAAGTTTCCCAAAGCCTACTAGGAAAAGAACTCTACTGGAGACTACAATCCTACTGCAACAAGTAAGTAAAACAATAAGTAAACTAAGACATTTTAGGACTTTAACACTGCCAGCCAGAAGCCTCCTTGCGCCCCACGTTTTCCATGCGTAACACCCCCCCTCAAGCTGGAGCATGGGGGTTCCGCGTGCCCAGCTTGGACAAAAGATGATTAAACGGGCCAGAACCAAGAGATTTAGTGAAAATATCCGCAGGTTGGTCGACCGAAGAGATGTGCGCCGTACGGAGAATGCCACGTTGGATCTCGTCCTGAACAAAGTGGCAATCGATTTCAATGTGTTTGGTGCGTTCATGGAACACGGGATTGGCTGCAATGTGTAAAGCGGCTTGATTATCATAGTGTAGTGTCATTGGTTGCGGATGATCCACGCCGAGTGAGGATAGTAAACTCCGTAGCCATTTCAACTCACAGACGGTGGTGGCCATGGCTCGATATTCGGCCTCCGCCGAGGATCGAGACACCGTTTTCTGTTTCTTCGTCCGCCATGAAATAGGAGAACCGCCCAAACGAATAAAATAACCAGAAACCGAACGGCGAGTAAGAGGACAACTTGCCCAATCCGAATCACAAAACCCAACAAGTTGAAGGGGACCTACGGCAGTGAGAACCAAACCTTGCCCGGTGCGTGCCTTAATATACCGAAGAGTATGGACTGCAGCGTCCCAATGATCACGGCGCGGGCTTGCCATGAACTGAGATAAAATGTGCACGGCGTATGTCAAATCCGGTCGTGTGATAGTAAGATAGATGAGACGCCCAACTAACCGCCGATAGGAGGTAGGATCCGAGAGAACGGGACCCGTTGCTAGAGCAAGGCGGTGATTTGCCGGGAGTGGGGTGGCGGCTGGACGACAGCCCAAATACCCTGTGTCAGAGAGAATGTCGAGGGCATATTTGCGTTGAGAGAGGAACAGCCCGGAGGAGTTGCGTGCGACTTCTACACCCAGAAAGTATTTCAGTAAGCCGAGGTCTTTCATGTGGAAGCATTCGGACAGGTAGTGTTTAAAACGGGAGATAAAAGCTTCATCATTTCCGGCGAGCACTAAGTCATCCACATATATGAGTACTCGAAGTTCCACCTGGCCACGCACCAAAGTAAAAAGGGAATAGTCGGCTTTGGACTGTGTGAAGCCGTACCTGCGGAGAGCTGTGGTGAGTTTAGAGAACCAACATCTTGGTGCTTGGCGTAGGCCGTAGAGGGATTTGTGCAATCTGCAGACCATGCCTTGTTGTCGGCATGCAAAGCCCGGTGGAAGTCGCATGTATACTTCGTCGTGGAGGTCGCCGTGCAGGAAAGCGTTATGGACATCCATCTGGTGGAGGCTCCAATTTCGCACGGGTGCCACTGCCAACAGAGCTCGGACAGTCACAAGCTTGGCCGTAGGGGCGAACGTCTCTTTGTAATCGATGCCCTCTTTCTGTCGATTGCCCAATATCACAAGTCGGGCTTTGTAGCGTTCAATGCTACCGTCGGCCTTGTGTTTAACTTTATAAACCCATTTCGAACCAATTGCTTTCTTGTTCGGAGGGAGTGAGACTAAGGACCAAGTGTCGTTGGCTGCCAGTGCATCTAACTCATCCTTCATTGCCATCCGCCAGTGTGGGTTTTTAATAGCTTCTTTGAAACTAGTGGGTTCCTCATCTGCAGTAATTGCTGCCAAAAAACTTCTGTGTGTGGAAGAAAAATTATCACAGTTAACAAAGTTAGTGATACAATGAGCCGTACCTGAAGTGGGGATCGGAGTGGATGTACAAGTCGGTGTACCACGAACAGTGTGCATGACAAAATCCCGGAGATGCGAGGGAGGACGCCGTTCACGGTGGCTGCGGCGATTGGGGTCCCCATCTTGAGGAACGGCTGGGATTGGCGGAAGACTGGTGGTGGATTCTTGAGGAGGTGGAGAGGTGATGTTTATGTCAGGTGAGGAAGACGAAGCTGGGGTTTCGGTGGAGATGGTTTCGGTGTGGGGAGGATCTGTTTGGGGGTGTTGGGGTGACACGGGGTTCAATGGTTCTGTTGGGGTGTGTTGGGGTGACACAGGTGCCTTGGCGGGTACGACAGGGGCGTCCAGTTCGTCGTCAACCAGGTCGTCCGCCGTAGAGGAATAGTTTGGCAGGGGCTGTGGTGGGGAAACAAACGGAAAGGAATGTTCAACGAATTTAACGTCCCGACTGACAAAAACTTTGTTTGTTTCGAGATCCTGCAATCACATCCCTTTTTCCCAAAAGGATATCCAAGAAAGAGACAACGGCGTGAACGACTGGCAAATTTATCCCCGTGTGTTAATTGACTATGCGCATAAGCAAGACAACCAAAAGTGCGCAAATGAGAATAAGACGGTTCTTGACCAAACAGAAGGGTGTATGGAGTTTTTCCATTTAACAGGGGTGTGGGGGTACGATTAATAAGGTACGCCGCGGTAAGAATGCAATCACCCCAGTAAGTGATAGGGAGGTTTGCGTGGAAGCGGAGGGCACGTGCTATATTAAGGATATGTCTGTGCTTGCGCTCAACCCTCCCATTTTGTTGAGGAGTGCCGACGCAAGAGGATTCAAAGACAATGCCGTGAGAGGCAAAATATGGTTTCATGCACGTGAATTCTGTTCCGTTGTCACTACGAAGTATTTTTATCTGGGCATTAAACTGACGCTGGATAAAAGCAAAAAAATTGCGTAAAACACTTGGTGTCTCATCTTTGTTAGTTAGAAGATACACCCAAGTGGCTCGGGAAAAATCATCGACAATTATCAACAAATATTTGGCCCCAGTTCGCGATAGTGTGCGGTACCCCCCCCCNCCCCCCCCCCCCCCCCCACAAATCACAGTGTATTATGCTAAATGGAATATCTGCTTTATTCATACTGATGGGAAAGGAATCACGACACTGTTTAGCACGAAAGCATACATCACAAGGTAAAGAAACATTTGAGGAGGAGGAAGAACAAAAAGGGAGAAAACGACAAATCTCAGGAGAGGGATGACCAAGTCGCTGATGCCACACCGCGAAGTCTGTCGTCGCTCGCATCGCACAGGCCTTGTCACACACATTCTGAGCGAGATAGTACAGACCTCCAACTTGTTCACTCATTCCAATCACCTTCTTCGAGGTACAGTCCTGAATAACACAAGATTTTTTAGTAAACTGGATAAGCAATCTTCCACTTTCAAGAAGTTGTGAGACAGAGATTAAATTGCAATTGAGTTTAGGCACTAGTAAAACATTGGTTAGTCTTAAAGAATTTTGGAGAACGACGTCTCCCGCATGCACGGCTAGTGCACTGTCACCATTAGGCAGGCCGACGGTGCATGCTTTGATGGGTCGAATGTTCTCCAACCGGTCTCTGTCCCCCGTCATGTGTTGGCTTGCACCGCTGTCGACTATCCAAGAACTTTTGGTCGTACCTGAAAATTGATTTTCACACTGGACGTTGGCTTGTCCTGCAAAATAACCTTCTCCGTCTCTGTCTTTCGGCTGCTCTGGTCTATTTGCAATGCGTCCAGCGGCAATACCTCCCCTTCCATTGCGCCTGCCAGTTTGTGCGCCACTGCCGCCGCGACTGCCTCCACGTCCGCCACCATGCATGCGTGGTCTGTCCGCCCACCACTCCGGGTACCCGATTATTTGGAAACAGCTGCTTATTTCGTGTCCCGTCTGCCCACAGTGCTTGCACTTGAGGCTGTTATCCCGAGTTGGTCTTCCCGCAGCTACGGCGAAACCCATAGGGTTTCGTTCTTCCTCGGTTGTCAGCTTTAGCACACCTTCTTGTTGGGTTATCACGGAATAAACCCGGTTGATGGAAGGCAACGGCTCGGAACTGAGAATGTTCGAGCGTAGGCTTCCATAACCTTCATTATCCAGGCCCATCAGAAATTGATGCACCTTTTCCTCGTCACGCTGCTTCTCCAATAGTGCGGTTAAGCCACACTTGCACCCACCACACTTGCATGCCGGCACCTTCAACATATCATACAATTCATCCCAGATTGCTTTTAACTTGCCATAGTGCTTAACGATCTCCTGGCCGTTCTGCTTGGTGTTTGCCAGTTCCTTTTTCAATTGATGGATCCGTGGGCCGTTTGCCACGGAGAACCTCGCCTTTATATCATTCCATAAATCAGCCGCCACCTCTACTTGAGTGATGGAGTTTCGCAAGTCTGTCTCAATGGTGTTGTAGATCCATGAGACAAGCATAGCGTTTACGATCCACCATTCTTCAACCTCGTCGGCATCTTCTTCGGGACAGGGTATAGATCCGTCAACAAAACCGAACTTTCTCTTGGCGCGGAGAGCTATCCTCATTGCTCTCGCCCATTCTTCGTAGTTCCTGCCGGTGAGTTTAACTTGAGTAATTAGCAATCCTGGAGTGTCCACAGATTTTAGATCATACGGACTAGGCTTCTTCGTCTCATCGCCGTTGTCCGTGTTTTTGGCCGGTGTTTCGTGTTTTGGCTTTGGATTTTCGGTCATGATGATCGCTGCTCTGATACCATGTGAAACGGCAGAATGGCAGCAACAATTCGGAAGAAAAATATATTCTGTGTTCTATGTTTGATATTACAAAGGTCTCCCGTTAATATAGGGGAGAAGTTTCCCAAAGCCTACTAGGAAAAGAACTCTACTGGAGACTACAATCCTACTGCAACAAGTAAGTAAAACAATAAGTAAACTAAGACATTTTAGGACTCTAACACTGCCAGCCAGAAGCCTCCTTGCGCCCCACGTTTTCCATGCGTAACAAGGAGTAAGGTTGACATCGTTTCTTCATTACAACCAGATGAAGTGGACTATGATGTTTTGTTGACAGCTCGTTATATATGGAGCTTTAGCAGCAGCATGTAATAAGTTATGTAGCATTGCCGGTAAGAAAACCAAGTCGTCTAATGAAGTCAGAGATGAAATAGTCAGGCTAACTCAAAAAATCGAAAGTTTTGGTGGGAAACCTAATACCCGAGTTTCGAATGAAGTTAGTGATCCCACTATTGTGAAGACAAAAAGAGCTCCAAAAAGAGTAAATTTAGAACAAAACAAAAGCGGTGTTCAAACTGTAACTGCGTAGGGCACACAATAAGAACATGTCCAAAGCTTCATTTGAAGAGTAAAGGAGGGATGGATGATGTTATATCTTCAGATTTTACCAACGCCGGTCAAGGATATCATTTAAGTTTATGGTTTTATGAGTATTCTAATAAATTCAATACATTGTAGGGCCTTTTGCCTCCTGATTTTTATAGTGTTCTAAATTCATTTTCATTACATTGCAGGGCAAAGAGAAGTGGCAACAAAAGATTTCCAATGGTCAAGAAAGTATTTTGCTAAAGGATGTTGATAAATCTCTTCATATTGATGATTTTGGAATGAATGATGTAAGTCCTTTGGGGTAAAGTATAGAGAGTACTTCATCGAGTAAATTCTATAATTGATCCTTTATAATAAGGGGATTTCCCTATTTAGTCCTCTATTATCAAATATTACCCAAGTGGTCCTTCTTTTATGGGTACCTTTCCACAAATAGTCCTTTTTTTGATCTTCTATCATGTTGGTGTTAATTTGAGGGCTAAAAGTGTAATTTCACAATGATTATATATCTTTTTTGTCATACACAATTCCAAAGGCTGTTCCGTTTGCGTCGTTTGTGAATTACAGTCACTTTTTTCGACAACTTTAGTCTACAAATGTGATCTTTCGTCAGAATCCTAGCCCACAATCATAGTCATTATTTTTGTGTTATCCGCTTAACCAATATCAGAACACGTCATTAGACATAATGTTGACGTCAAATTATACTTTTAGCCTTTAAATTAACACCAACACGGCAGAAGATCAAAAAAAGGACCATTTGTGGAAAGGTACCCTTAAAAAAAGGACTACGGGAGTAATATTTGATAATAGAGGACTAAATATGGAAACCCCCCTGTTATAAAGGACCAATTATGGAATTTACTCGTACTTCATCTTTTATTTATTCTGATTAATACTTGTGTGGATTAAAGTTTCAATTTTATTTTTTATAGCACTTTATAATTATGTAACAGGATAGACAAAGCTTTGATCAAAATCTTCGTCAGGAAACAATTTTCACAAATGAGGTAATTGAAGTGGATAATAATGATGATATCGGCAGCAAATACATTGAGAAACGTCCTTTGAAGGATATTGTAAGTAAAGTATTTGTTTTGCCCTCAGGTCTTTATTACTCACTCTTTATTAAATACTAAAAGCCATAATTCCTTTTTTTATTTAATTCGTAATTTAAAAAATTATTACGTTGGTCTACGCAATTCACATTCTAAAAAAGAAAACTAACCTTTTTTTATTCCTACGCATTAAACACAAGATTTTATTTAATTCCTAATTTAAATTAGTATACACTAAAAGTCTTACCATGTTACCTTTTGTTAATTAAATACCATAAAAGTCTTACCTTTTTAACCGTGTGCATTTGGGCGGAAATTTCATGGAGCCATTTTCCCCTGCTTTTAAGAATAGTAATAGGAAGACTCCTAATATTATTTAGTTTCCTTATTCTTGTATTACCATACTTACTTTAGTCCTTTCCTACTAGGAATAGGATTCTCTCTTGTAATCCCTATATATAGGGACATATCTCTCAATATTCAATAAGACAAAAATATTATCAAATTGTATCATGGTATCAGAGCCTAGGTTTAAACCCTAGCCCTTTTTTTCGAGACTGTGCTTCACCGCCGGTCTCCTTCCACTCGCCGGTCGACCGTTAACGGCGACCATGGCTCAATCTTCAGATCTGCTTGCTTCGCTTCCTTCTGGCGTCAAGCTTCTTCTCCGCAATCTCCATAATCTTATCCAGAGAAGCTCACCGATTCAAATTATCCTGCATGGTCTCTCAATGTCAAAACTGCTCTCGAGGCCAACCTTCTTCTTGGTTGGATCGATGGTCATGAAGCTGCGCCTCCAAAAATCCTATCCAAGGATGGCAAGGAAAACCCTAACCCAGAATTCCAAACATGGATTGTGATTGATACTCAGATCCGTGCATGCCTTCTTGCCGTCATCAGTCCGTCTGTTCACAAGCATGTCCGCAACTTCACCACATCTGCCGATCTATGGAACGCTCTCGCTGCCCGGTATAATTCTGTTTCTACTGCTCACATCTATCAACTATGGGACAAACTTCACACACTCCGAAAAGGTACAAAAACTATCACCCAGTACCTTGATGAAGTTGCCACTACCCTCACCGATTTGGATGCTCTCAACGAGGTTATTCTTGAGAGAGATGTGGTGAATGCTGTTATCCGAGGCCTCCCTCATGAATATTCCTCCTTCAAGCAAAATATACGGATGAACAATGAGAATATAAGTCTCAATCAACTCTCTAGGTGGCTGACCTCTGAAGAAATAAATCTTGAAATCGAGCAAAAATAGAGTATTGCAGATTCCGCCTCCGGAGTTTCTCACTCTGCACTGTATACAAACAGCGATCGAGGCCGCGGTCGAGGAGGACCGAACGGTCGACCGTTTTCTGGGCGAGGATCTGGATCCGGTCGCGGCGGTCGAAGCAACGGAAGGGGGGGAGGCCGCGGACCTTCACGCGATCTTCCAGTATGTCAGATCTGTTCAAAGCGTGGCCACTCTGCTGCTACCTGCTAGTACCGCTATGATGATTCTTCTACTGAGAGCAACTCGGCTACCAATTCTCGTGCTATGCATGCAACCACAAGCAACCAAACTGGTGATTGGTACCTTGATACATGTGCTAATACTCATGTTACGCATGATATTTCACAGCTGCAAACTCCGACTCCCTACCATGGCACTGAAACTATTACTGTAGGTAATGGTCATACTTTACCCATCACTCACACAGGTTCAGGCTCAATTCACACCCCGAATGGTAAATTTCACCTCCACTCCCTTAATCATGTTCCCTCCCTTACTTCAAACTTACTGTCCGTTCACCGCTTTACCAAAGATAATAATTGCACTCTTGT